CCCCCTCTCACAAAAATCCAGAGGCTGATCGAGCACTGGTATTTTAATTGTATTTTAATGGATAATTCACACTTGATAGCCAGTCATCAGCAGGGGAAAAAAAAATCAGAACATGCTTGGGGAAAGTGTTCTCAACTAAGATAAACATTAATGTTATTAATAGAAATAAGTGATATTATAGTTATAATTTGTATTGATTAAATGATTTATTGATTGGTTCAAAAAGGCAAGTACATGTATAATAGAAAACCTAAGAAAATGTCGAAATATGAATTAACAGAAAAACTGGCAATTATTATCAAACAACGCTCAGAAGTTCTGATTTTTCCCCAAAAAACGTATTAAAAAATCATATAAATCCTATCGATGATATACAATTCACTTTCTTTATTTTCGCGAGAGGTCTTTAGCACTTGCATTGATTTTGATATCATGAAGATGATATAGCTTCGAACAAAGAATTCTCACGCTAACAAATTAAAACTATGCCGTGAATTTTCATCACATTTATTATGCCAATGAGAGCGTATATATGGGCATCGAGAAGAGATGGGGGCGTAGTCGTGACCTACGAAAATTTCAGAACGTCGTGTCAAGATAAAAAAAGATTTAAGTCCATTTTCTGATTAATTTTCATTTCCCCTTGAAATTACGATTATTATGAACAATCCAAAACCACAATAAAGTTACGTTAAAAGGTATGCATTGTATGCATATGATAAATTGGAATTGGAAATGATATAGAGCGATGAATAATCCCAAATATGATTTTGGGGTCTGGTGTGTGAGACTAAAAGTCGCATTTTTGATTTCGCCCACGTCCGTTTTTCGTTCCATAAAAGGTAAACGGCACGCGACCCGCTCGGCCGAAGGTCTCGGATTTCACACACTTTTTGCCCCAGGCCCAGGTATCCCGCCCCGTTACGCGTGCTTCGTTTGTAACCCCATGACCCCCCCCCCCCCCCCCCCCTCCTCCTACTTACCCTTGCTTCTCGCACCCTTACGAAATCTGTACACACACATAATTGATAATATTCCTATTGTGCATTTTTAACCTTTATGAGTCTGCTTTTGTACGTACTTCTTGCAGGCATTGTTTTGCACACTGTCATTTGTACTTTTATTGTTGTGGAAACTAAATGAAGTTATGAACTTGATTGGTGACGATATCCAAAACTCTAAGAAATAAAGAGAAGGTTGGCCTAAAAATTAAAGAAAAGCATGGGAGAATAACAATTTTATAAAATCTATTATATTTAATTTCCAGGAACATAGCATCGAACGATAAAATACAGAGACAATGGTATCATGAATAAATAATTTTAATGCTAATATACAAAAACCAAGAATATAACCGTCATATCATTTCAAAAGGCAATATAATAAATGTCATATCATTCCCAAATCACAGATATGACTATCAAAATGAAGCGCGGGAAAGGAATAAATGAAGACTGTTACCATGGTAAAATAGCACACCCTTATCCGCCTCGACTCATCTGACGCTCTTCCTTAGAAACAGACCAGAAAACATCTTAAAGGTATAGGAGTGTTTTTTACTGACACTATTCTGTAAACAGATATTCATAATAAAATTTAGCGATGGAAAATTGTAGGATTTACAAACATAATGATTATAATAATAGGTCCATTTATACAGCGCAGCTACTATATTTACTGCGATTAATATACATTATATCCTGCATCAAAAATTTGTTGGCTTTTGATTGGTTGAGAGCTCGTCACATGCCCAGAAATATTTGATCTATTTGTAGAAAGTACTATATGGGAGTACTATTTTGGTTTACTATTTGGGAGTTGAAAAAAAAATGTGAATTTTTTTTGGGAATTGAATCAATTTTTTTAAAAATCTTAATTTAATGAAAACAAAACATTTTAAATCTTTTTAGAGAAAAATTGACATTTTTTTTGTTCTAAATTTTGTTTTCCCCAAAATGTTTTTTTTTTTTTTTTTTTTTTTTAAATAAATTTTTGATGCAGGATATAAACAAAATATACCATGCCTTCTATTCGAGGTACTGGTTAACCTATGGGCCTCGGTGACTCCAAAAGTCCCATTTGATTCGGGGCTGCGCCCCTCAGCAAATAGTACTATTGGAGTCACCTCTTGCGCATAGTTTTAACCAGAACCTCTCAAGGCAGTGTATATTTGTATATTCTATCATATTATTACCTCGACTGTAGCAGAGCTGCCACAAAGGCGCTAAATCACGCAAGGAACTTCCTCGCACCGGGTAAACGTTTACTTCATCTGGGTAGAAAGCGTCAATGTAGATTAATGTCTAGTCGGAGGACATCAGTGCCGCGGCGGGACTCGAACCGCGAACCATGTAAGCCACAGTCCATTGACTAGACCACGACATCTCTTCATACGACTGTACAACATAAATTGGAAAACATTAATTTTAACCCCCCCCCCCAAAAAAAAAAAAAAAAAAAAAAGAATAAAGACAACTGTCAACAACAAAAAAGTGTAAAAATGTTTTTAAAAGAAGAGAAGAGAGGAGAAGAAAAGGGAAGAGAAGAGAATAAGTGAAAGACGACGAGGAGATAGAAAAAGAGAAAGAGAGGAAAAAAAGAAGAGTAAAGAAAACAAGGCGAAAGAAAGGAAAAAAACACACAATTCCATGTCAAATTCAAAACCCGCGCTTATTTTAGGGTTTAACAATCAAGGAACTTAAAGTACAGTCATTGTACGAAATGAACTCCCACTAACATAATAGACCAGTTCACGGTTAGCACATGTCCCAAATGAGCCCGAATATTCTCAGATCTTCAAAACATGAAGAGGTCCCACTTTGTACATTTTGAAATAATCACTCCTACAGCGATGGAGGTGCTATACAAATAGCCTTTGTTTCCCCTTTTCAAAGAATACTACTACCTGTGTATCATGGAGTGCACTGCTTGTGCATAAATGAATAATGTCCCCTCAGCTATATACGCACGTTGTCATAATGATGTTGTCATACTACATGTAATAATAATAATAATGATAATACACGCCATTTTCCATTTTAATTAAATGCTCATGGTACTTATTTTACATTGGTATTACCCGTTTGAATCATATTAAAAAGCATATAAAAGTGTTTTCTGTTTCGTCACCAAAGAGCCTTTTACCAGAAGGAGCTTTTTTTCCGTATGTTTTTATCATGTTTCCCCCCCCCCCCTTTTTCCCAGAGAATCCTAGTATTACAATAATTAATCTACTAAAAGTTCTGCCGCTTTCTTTCTGTCTCTGTCTCTGTCTCTGTCTCTCTCTCTCTCCCTCTCTCCCTTTCTTTCTCTTTGACTTATATCTATATCTCTCCCCCTCTCTTATTGCTATCTTTTCTCCTAATACGCTAATAAACCTAATTTATTTTGTCCACCTAGTACATTACAACAATATTTTAAAATAAAATTTGTTTGCATTCATCAGAGGGCGCCTTGTAAGTTATTGGTCAGAGCCATCATGATAAAGTTGGACCACGACGAATGCTGCTTTGTTTTAGGCCAGCACATAACACAGATTATGCATTAAAGTATCTCCAACTGAAGCCGAGTTGGCCAATCTGTGTGTACAATTGGCTCATGGAAAATAATTATCATTGATTTGGGGTATTTTTCAACACTTTCCACTACTTTGATTCCTTAGAGCTTTTCACATGTTATTAAGTGCATATTCATGATACCATAACAGTTGAAAAAAAATTATGTTGCAATTAGTTCATGTCTATTCCTTTTGACGAAATGACTGTAGTATGAGAGAGAGAGAGAGAGAGAGAGAGAGAGAGAGAGAGAGAGAGAGAGAGAGAGAGAGAGAGAGAGAGAGAGAGAGAGAGAGAGAGAGAGAGAGAGAGAGAGAGAGAGAGAGAGAGGGAGCGCTCCTTGGTAGAATATGAACCTACTGTATGTGTTTTCGACTATCATTCGATACAGCGCCCTCTCTTGTTGAAATATAGAATTATCGGAAAGCCAGCGATTGTAGAGTATGATACAAACACTATGGGGTATTATTTGCGTGTACTTTGAGTAAATGTGAGATTAAGTGCCAGAATTCATTCATCTTCAAAAGTTCTTGATAATTAAAACAAAGGATTAATTATACACAAATATTCTAGGTTGTGAGTGAATAAGTAACAACTGTTTGATATGAAAGATTGGCAAGTCCAAGGTCTTCAAGTTTCAAGTTTGTTTGTCCCACATTTTACACAAAATATAGCCATACATATAACATGTATATTATATTTATATATACATGTCTTTTTTCCTAAATTTCAGGAAAGCTCCCTTTCTCATTTCTTCGCAAGAGTCAATAATTGTTCCCGGCGGGAATGGCGAATGGCTCTTTTGAAATTTTCATGAAATTCTTCCCGTCTACATGCCCTGGTTAAACATACAATCGAAAGGCTTATTTTGATTGAACATTTCGATTTGCCTGTTTTGATCATTGACAAATCTTCAACCGTGAATGCTAAGGAGCAAAGCAATCGAATGAAAAGACTCTCGTCAAAATGAACACTGAATAAGAATGAAAAGAATTAACCTAAAAACTATTTTACATTATTGGGCTACAGAGTTTTTTTCATTTTTTTCATTTTCATTTTCATTTTTTTTTTTAAATTGGGGGGGGGGGGGGGGGGGGCGGAGCCGTCGCTCCACTTTGAAACAGTTTCTTTCCCCCCCCCCCCCCCCCCCCCCCCCCCCCCCCCCCCCCCCCCCCCCCCCCCCCCTCTTGGGAACCTCGTCGCTGACCTTGCCTCCCACAGTTTTTAACATTTACTCTGATCTCTGCAATGAACCAGCCTGACCCAGGCATAAACCTACGAGATTCTAATCAAACAGTCATTTCCGTGGAATTAACATTTAGCGTTAGCAAAAAACCTGACATGATTTTGTCTGTAGATGGCGATGGACTAGATTCCAATGTTTCGATCGTGAACATGGTTTGAAACCAATCCAGGAGCTCGAGCAAGAAGAGGGCCAGGGTAAATACTGGGTTACGAGTACCGCAACTCCCAGCCACAGAAACACGCTATACCATACATAAACCTCCACCTGGATACGCGCCGCTACTCTTCACTTATACGGTTTTCAATCACAGGCTACCGTCAAGTTTTGGGGTGCAAATCTCTGGCGCTCGACGCCGAGAGAGAAATACTTTGCTCAAAATCTTCAAACAAGCTAACCGGTGATGGGGCCCAGATATCTATTCCCCGCTCTCCTGCTTTTGCTGGTTACTTTGTCAGTGGACGCAAGAAGAAACCGCCGTCCCAATGTGATCATTTTGTTTGCAGACGATTTGGGGTATGGAGACCTGCAGGTGTACGGGCACCCGACCTCGTCTACGCCCAACCTGAACCGACTGGCCCGCGATGGGAAGGTGTTCACTCAGTTCTATGCTGCGGCCGCTATATGTAGCCCATCGAGGTAAGCTGAGCAAATAACACAAATTTGTTTCAACCTAGCCATGCGGCATGCGTACCTGTTTTTTTTAATTTTTCATTCATTCTTTTTACATTGAACGTCTTCCCTCGGAAGAGGCAGTGAAATAAATGTCTAGTATACTGTATATGGGGAATTCTTTAATTGAAATGACATATTGTATTTTGTCAATTTGTATATTAATAATATTGATCAATGCCAAATGCGCACTCAAGAATCTACCTCCGACCCCCCCCCCCCCTAGCCTCCCTGACTCCCTGACTTGTTTATTATGTGAGTACCTTAGTGACAAGATGAAAGACCTGGAACCTTGGCTTCTACCTCATTATTCTTCCCATATTTGCTCTAAAGGTAAAGGTAAATGGGGATGTTGGATGTCTATTTTTTTAAATGAAAACACTCTTGAAATTGGATGGTTATCATGGTTCTATCAGTCATGGCCACAATCTACTGCCAGACCAGAAAGTAACATCCTCTATTAATTAATTGCATGGCAACATAATTCAATTAAATGATTATACTTTAGAGCAATTATTCGGAAACCTAGCCCTATATACCGGTAGTGAAATTGATAAAAATGTTGCATTATGTGTAGAGCCTTGCCCTTGTCAGGGTGTTTTGCAAAACAAACGTGTGTCGGTCAGCTGAGTGTAGCATTAGACTTGATCGTAGCTCTGTGGGAAAAGTTACATCTTGGGCAGATGTAAAGTTTCCCAATGAGCTAAAAAACAACATCATGGATAGCATTTTATGTGTACACAGTACATGTATGTACTCCAAATTTACAACCCCCCAAAATCTCTGACTCTTTGTGGCAAAGAAGATTTTTGCGGCCACATGAGGCCAGCCAGCTTGATCAGGCTTCGGACAATGAATGATGAGGGGGTAGGAAGTGGTCAGAGGAAGAAGAAAGCCAGACCAGACCAAACAAAAGAAGCAGACACTATTGTGCTAAGGGGCTGATGCCTTAAATCCTTTTCACACTCTGTCTCTGAGTATACTCAGGTCACAAGGAGGGCAGAATAACTTGTGTGAAAGAAAGGGAAGGTAAGATATATTCGCTTGTTTTGCTACTTAGACCCCGCTGCGGCCCGAGGACTGCTGTTGAAATTTTGATTGCGTTCATCCGTGGAGTGTTGCAGAGTGTCGGGGACCTACATACCACTGTATGTGTATGTAACCCTGATCGAAAGATAGACCTTCACACTGAAAACGATATGGAAGGAGTGAAGAGGGGGGGGGGGGATAAGGTAGCTCTGGAACGCGATGTAAACAATCTGCAAAAAACCTTTGGACAATTGACAAAGAGCTTGTTGGAAAGTTGTTGAAGATTAAAATCTACGAACCCAGCAAATAAAGAATTACCATGGACGTAGAGCATTGAACTTGTCTATTTCTACTTCTGTTGCTGGTGACTCATTATCAAAGTCTGTTCAGCATCTTTGCCATGGAAGTCTATAAGAGCATCTGTGATCAAGGAATACCAAATTGTACACTTGGTGTCCATCATGACCTGCATTTGAAACATTATTTTGAAACATATATGCAATCAGGGAAAAAAATACACGGGAGCTCGGGGCGAATTAGCCCCCGAAATGCCAAAAAGAGCCCCCGAAAATTTGTATAGAGTTCAATGCAAAACAAATTAAAGAGTGTTATTTTCATGCATGCAAGCTTGAAAAGTAGCCCCCGAATTGTTTTGAATTTTTTTTCCCTGTATGCAATTAGCTTATTGGGTGATGGAAACCACAACTATTTTTCATGTACCTCCTTTCCTCTCTATATTTCCAGTCACAGTCAATTTGTTTGTTCTCTCTTTTTGGAGAAAGTTACCAAAGAACTAAAGTTGATACACACAGTGCTGACGTCATAAAAAAGTATGAAGATTTTGCTTTTTCAGGACATTGATCTGTAGGTATACTTGCAAGAGTGCAGAAGAAGGATGGAGAGATTAGAAATAAATTTAGTTGAAAGGAGGAGTTAGAGAAAGAGCTTTAAGGTTGAATGCGAAATTAAATTATTCTTTTTTGCTAGGAAATGAAATAAACTAAAGGATACAGGTTCATAAATTGGTTCATGGGAAAGGGAGATTTCCTCACAGGCAGTTTTTCTTTATGTACATTTCCCCCTAGAACTCATGCCCATTTTTCTTTGTCAAAACCTGTACATTCGTTGACAGGAATAAGATAGGAAGTGCAACAACATACATTTAGATCATGAGAAAATGCTGTAATCACTTTTTGTTTTTCAATTTCCATCATATGAATTGTTCGAAATGTTTTTCTGTCTGCCATCCTGATAGCAAGCAACACAATGAAGTGGTTACCAAGGTGTTGGAATTTTAAGCCATTTGAACCAAATTTGTTTTTGCCCACCCTTCACTCATACTCTCACCACCTTGTATGTGGGGAAGGAATTAACTTTTGTGCAACATTTGTCCCAAATCTCGCCTTCTACAACGTTATTCAAGCTAGTCACCACCAAAGTTCCATGTTTTTTCGTGGCAAATGCACCGCAGAAATGGCCGTATCCCAGAGCGATGCTGGCCCCATGAATAGCTGAGTGACTGTGGTGGAAATCTCTATTTATCCTTCGGGTTTGCACAGGAACCTTACACTGAACAGCGCCGGAGAACATTCATTGTGCTCCATGAAATCCTATATGACTTCTCTTTGGCTCAACCAACTTACAATTTAATAGCTCCCAAAGGGTTACTACCCTCCTTCTGCCAGCCCCCATTCAGACGAGCCAATTTCATCTTAGAACTATACAAACCCTCAAACAACGTTCTGCAACAGACCGGTTTACTAACATATAATCAAATTTTATACATACTTTTTGGACAAAGGTTGTTCTTGACAACCTGAAAGCTTGCCCAACATAGCAGCACGTCATATAATGCAGACTGGATTCTGAGTATTGTAGTTCATCCATTTTCAACAAGTTAATGGCATAACTCATCACTTGGTCTCCAGGAAAGAAACATTTGAATATATGTTAGTTCTATTCAAAGTATTATCATTGATATCTCTTTTGTTAGTATATTATCACATTTGTTGTTGGTATCATCCAAAATACTGCTTTTTCCCCTTTTCAATGATGCCCAAATTGTTATGATTATGTAATAATGGAATATGCAGTATACCTGCATTTTGGGCCAAGTATAAAGTGAAATGTTACAAAATGCATTGTTATTGTCAACAGTGAATCTTCATTTGTTTGGAGGATGTGTTTTGAAGGAATACCAATGCATTTTTTCAACTTTTCACTTTTGACTTGGCCCCTCATATTTAGGTGTACTGCACAGTCCATGATTACATAATGATTACAAATAGGGCATTGATAATGTAAAGGGAAATAAGCAGATTTTCAATGATACCAACATCAAATATGATAATATAGTAAAAAGAGAGACATCAACAATAAAACTTGAATTGCAGAATGTATACATTTCTTACAGTGTGAACAGTCTACAAGACTTTTTATCCTTTCCCCCCTTCCAATGGCAAGGACTATTGTGTTAGTTCGCACCTCCTAATGCAAACATAGAACTCAATCAAAGGCGGAGAAGGTGGTTATTGATAAAAAAGGAAGCAATTTGTGAACTATTTGCACAGACTTTTGTATTGTATCAGGCGAGGTTTCTCTCCGTATTACCAGAACTTGAGGATATTTGTAGAGTTAAAGATGGCAAATTCAAGACATTTGTGAACTACATTGTATTTGCAAAGATTTTAGTATACCCCAAGCAGAGGTCTTCCTCTTCCTCCAAAGGGTACCTGAACAGACTTTGAGGATGTTTTCAAAGAGTCAAAGATGGCAAATTCAAGAAATTTCTGAACTATTTGCAAAGATTTTAGTATACTAGTTAGCAGAAGTTTCCTCCCTTACACTGCCTATTTGCTTGCAGTGTACTGTATGTCCCTATGGTGTTACAAGTGTTGGTGTACTGTATGAAACACAGCTCAGTATGTATGTGTTTCTTTGATTTCAGAAAATGAGAATTTGTTAAGTCATCTCACGTCTTCATCAACGTCAATTCTGTTCTTCCTGTAGGCCCTGAAATTATGATTTCCAGGTCCCCATTTTTATATGGGTGGAGGCCTTTTGAGGCTGGAGGGTGGCAAATGTTGAATAATAATGTCTTGTCAAAGGATGTTAGCCATTGGCTGGGATACAAACCCTCAACCCTTGGATTGAGAGTCAAGTGAACGAACCACTATACCACGCCACCTCCATGTTCATTGATGGGGGACAAAATCACTTATGGTGAAAGGAGGCTAGGTATAAATGGAGTTCCAGCACCCAGTGACACCTCACCCCACCTATTTTCTTTTCTCTGTGGAGAGGGTGTGTGGGTGTGAGGGGTGAATTGATCAAGTTCACATTGTGAGGGAATGCTTGGGTATTGTTAATAGTACGCGACCTTTGACATCGTGTCACCTCGAGGGTCAAGAGCGGATCCAGCCCCCATTGGGTAAACAAACGCGCTAGATGACAAGTTCATGCTGTCAAGTTACGGGCTAGCTAGGACACCTCAGTAGCCTAGTTTCCAATATGTTGAAAAGAGGAATGGTACATGACATTGACATTGCATGCATTACAGTAGATGTAGACATGAAATGGAAAAACAACCCTTATCTCTTTTTTTCGAAATTGTGAAGAAGATTATTATGCGTCAAAGTAGTAGTAGATGTGCAGTGGAACGCAGTGGAACAAAATTCCTTTTCCCCTTTTTTAGATGGCAAAATTCAAGAAAAGGGAACATAGGCCTACTTCAAGCAATTACAGCAGTAAAATAACATTTCCAAAGGATTTTGACCCCAAAGTAAAATCTAGTTGAATAATTGATGACAAGATGATGAGGTAAAACTCTTCCAAAGGGCTTTCTCCCTCATTCTCTCTCCCTCTCCCTCACCCTCCCTTACCCTCTCTCCCTCACTCTCTCTCTCCCTCTCTCTCTTTCTTTCTCTCTGTCTCTCTGT